ACTCATTTTACTGCAATTTGTTTTCTGAAATTAAATATCTAATCGCTCGTGGTGTACCAGTAAAATTTTTATTTCATTGAAATTGTTGTACAAGGAGTTGAGAAGATTTTTGGTAAAATATAATGCAATAAGTTGAACTTTTTATGATTGACTGTTCTTGACATAAAATTTTAAAATTTGTCATTTTGACACGTAATTTGATTTTAATTAGTTGCAATGTCTGACGCCACCTTTAGTATTATATATTTGTTTGTAACTATGATAATAGAATATTATATGTATATTAAATAGTGCATGAGCTTTCCAACAAATACAATACACACTAATAAATTTTGCTATATCCACAAATAGTTTCATTATTTGCTAATAAAGCGTATTTACTTTTATGCAATTTAGCTCTAAGAAGGCATTAGATGTTTGATATTTGATATTTGTCTTCTCAGTTGTCGGCTGAGCTTACAGAAGTGTGGTTTAGAAGACCAGATTGAAAGCGCAAAATGAGGTTCTCAACATATTTCGCTGTTATCCTTATTATTATTGCTGTGATTACCAATTGTACCGCTATAAATTGCCAACCTTGCAAAATAAAGGAAGCAAGAAAAACACATAGCGAAGAAATGCAGAAAAAAGAAGGAGGAAATGAAAACAAAACCGCAATGTTACTAACAGATAGTTGAAGAAAAAATTGTAAATAAATTTGTTAACTAGTAAATTATTATGTTTTATTAATTATAAGTAGTTAAAAAAACATTAAAACAAAATGAACAAAAAAATCAAATTTTATATTAATGAAAAATTAAGAAAGAAAAAATATAAAATAGTTTTATTGGAAATTTAGAACAGCTTTTTCGGTATGAATTTTTCTAGCGAGCACCTTTTATACGAGAGGCTACTGTACACACTGGTAACAACAAAGAACTGTGACTGAGTGGCACCATTATGCCTCAGCTTTATACTAGTTAAATGGCAGTTTATGCCTGTGAAGCTGAATCTTCAATTTGCCAGTGGCTATCTTATGTTATGTAAATTATAGATATTCAATGCAATATTTCAGGGAATTCGAGCTATAAGTTTCGGTAGTTTGCTGAAAGGCTGTCATGAGAGGTATAAGGGCAAGAAAATAATAATAAAGAAGAGAGTATCATGATAAAGATCAACAGTATACAAGTAAAAATAGCAATATTGAATATCGTTCAAGAAAGAGTGATTGATAAAAGAAGGCAAGAAGAGGGGAAATATTATATTACATGAGAAATGTCAATAAAAGGAAGGTAAAAAGCATAAAATATATGTACGAGTATGAATAACATATGGATGTATTGAGAGTAGAATTGGGTGAACTAAAAACGTGAAAAGTTAAAAGCAAAAAAAAAAAATTAATATAATATTTTTAATTAAATATTGATCGTCGTCAGTACACGTTTGAAGCGAGCCCAAGAAACAAGAGCAAGACTAGAGAGTGCAGTGGTTATATTCGTGTAATATATGCAGCAGCATCGATGCCGCCGGTAAACAGCAAAAATGCAGCATATCTGGTAAAGGGTTTTCCAAAACCTATTCCGAGGAGCAATCACATGAATGTAAAACTTGTCAGCTTGGTATCAAGACTACGGAGATATTGCCAACTGCTAAAGCGATATAAGAGTTAATGTTATGCCATCAGAGGAGACATCATCTCGGCGGAAGTGAAAGCAAGTGAGAGCAGCGAGCGTCGAAAGTACTCAGCTGATTTTATTGTAGTATAAGTGAAATTAGACAACCTGATCGAGAACTCAGTAATCTTTTTACTGAGAAGTAGAATTTATAAACTTATGTTTATTTAATATATTTAATATACAAATAACTCACTGTACTCAAAAGACAGCAAAGCAAAAAATACCAACAATATACATATAATATATAGCAAATAAAAAGAGAAAAACTCGTTTACTCAATGACAATGGTCTCCTTCACCGCCTTTTTGTTTGAAGAACACACACTTTTAATTCACTGCATTCCTCACCAATTTACTACGCGTCCCGATTGTATTCGCTACTCTCTCGCTGGCATCTTATGTCCTTGCGACATCCTACAGAAAGTACAAATCCGCAGCTTTAACGGTATTATCTTAAAGAATCTTTGCGAATATGAATCCAAAACAGATCATCTAAAGCCGCCAAACAAGCATAATTAAATTGAGCAAGTGAGAGCAGGTGAAAAAATACGAATATATTTATATATATATTGGTTAATTCTTTGCTACAGAACTGGAAATTGAAAAAATAACAACAAAAACTCCAGTGGCGTTACATTTAATGCGAAGCGAAAGGTATTCACAGGAAGAAATGATATTCTTCAAAAAGAATTTCAAAGAAACCATGAATAAATATGTTCGTACATAAAATGTGAATACATTTATATGTACATTTCTACAACAATAAAGTCCAAATATACAATAAAACTATAAATCCTTGTGTACATAAAGGTAAAGATATTTCAATGAGTTTTTTCGGAATTAAAGAAAACTTAATTATTTTTAATGTAAATAATGACAGACCTGTATATGGAAATATGTATATGGAATATATGTATTTAATATAAAGGTATGTTGTGCTCTGATATCATTACATTTTCAGTTAAATATATATACATAATTGATATATAATATGTGAAGGTAATGCATTCAATCTCAACCGAGAGAGAGAGAGTGAGAGAGAGAGGTAGAGAGAGAGAGAGAGAAAGAGAGAGAGAGAGAGAGAGAGAGAGGTAGAGAGAGAGAGAGAGAAGGAAGGAAAAGAGTGAATTAGAATAAATTCAAAGTAGAAACTCTCATTAGAAAGCTGCTTTCCTAAAATAAGTGGTTGCATTTTTATTTCAGTTTCATACAATACAATGTAACTGCTTTAAAAGCTTTTTGGACGTCACTTAACCTCAACTTATCGTAATTTGCAATGGGCTTTCCACCCGAATCAGCAGAGTATTACTCCTTACTAAAATTTCAACTTGAGTCAAAGATCAGTCGTGGAATAGTTCAGTCGAAATATAAAATTAGACATGGGAGATCTTTTTTAATGCAAAATCAAAAAAAAAAAAAAAAAAAAAAAAAAAACGAAAGACATGCTTTTTTTTATTTTTAAATAAGGAATGTGGTGAAAACCGTATACACAAAGACTTTCCTCGCAGAGCTAGAAGAGATAAAAAAAAGAGGAAGCACGAAAAAAAGAGAAACAATAAAAATATAACTAACGGATGGTTAAAGAAAATAAACAAATTGAAAGAAGAAATTATGAAACTAAAGCCATTGTAGAAAGAGTCAATATTTTTTTTTATATAAGTCTTCATAAAAAAATTAAATGATAAAAGGTAAAAAGAATGGTTATATAACAATTATGTTATAAAAGAAATTAAATAAACAAAAAAGTATTAGCCATATTTTGTGCTGTAACGAACAAAAGTCATTTCTAACTGATACTTACCCGATGAACATACCAACACCAAATCTGCGCCGTTTATCCTATGAGACACTCAGGGACCTATGGATGGCTATACGAAAATGCATTCAATCAGCAACAGCAAGAGAGCCTGCACACGAATCTAGTACGCCGTCTAGGGACAGCGTCCAAGGGTAAACCAACAATCGCCACAACTTGACATGCTAGCGAACCTGATTTTGATAAGCCGGTCACCTAGCGGAGTTGGTGGGCGACCTATGAATCCGAACTACTGCAGTTTACATGCGAGATTTGCGGTAAAAGCCTTATGACGTGCGGTCATGTGCGCGATCACCTTAACGGGCACACCAAAGGAAAACCACGCAAAGCTTATGCGATAAAGCGTTTTCCCATGCGAGCACTCTGGCCAAGCATAAGATCAGCCACACTGAAAAGAGGTCATATAAATGTCACCGTGCGTATACCTGTATACTTTCAAGCCACGCGACCATTTTAGATTGCATGTTAGAAAGCATAACACTGTTGGGAGCGAGGAGTTGTCACAACCTGTGAGTGATACGGTAAACAAGGACAATAAAATAATAGTCAAGTTCCTTGAGCTGTCAATGAAAGTAACACTCCCTGCCGGCGCAACTTCTAAATTTAGCAGAGCTCTCATCGCCAATAAATTATTTGGCAAATGTCGGCAACGACTATCGGTTTTCCTGAGCTTTAACCGCCAGTAACTCCCGGCCTCAACGTTGACAATGATACAGCTGACAACTATCGAGAGCTGTTAACGACGTCAATGACACGACTGCCAGTTGCAGAGATCCTTTGCCATCATTAACCCTAATCGTGAATGTTGCCGAGAATACAACTCACGTTTTCTGAGAATTGTCAATGCCAGTAAATCTTTCCGCTGACAACGTCAATGTCTTAGATATCGGTTTCCCGGCGATCCCAGTGCCTGTAGTTCCTTTCCTCAACATTAAAAATGATAAAAGAGAAATTTACCGCGAGTTTTAACTCCAGTGGTTCTCTACAAATACGACGCCAATGGCTCAACTGTTAGGCTTTCAGAGCTTTTAGCGCTAGTGACTCTCTCCATCAACGTTGAGAATGATTATCATGAAACTTACCGAGAGCTTTCAACTACAGTATATCCCTTCGCCGACTTCGCCAAAGCCTTAGCTATAGGTTTCCTGGAGCTCCCAGTGGCTGTAACTCCTTACTTCAGTGCTGCGAATGATACAGATGAGAGTAATCGAGAGCTTTCAACGCCACTATTTCTTTTCGAACACGTCCTTTCAGAGAGTTCCACAGATATAGACAATATTAAAGCAAATGAATCATTGATTCCAATCATTTTTCATAATTATACACAAACATTACATATGCATGTACATATATACTCTCTTTAAGTAGTACACTCAACGCACGTACATACTCGTACGCTTACCCGCTTACAGGTATCGGAAGTCGCTGAGTAAGAAATGAAACAAAAATGTCGTATGTTCACTCGTCGACTCTCCTCCTCATCTCACTCGCTCAGACTGAACGCTTTTACTACTTGGATCACAAGCCGGCGTTCACTTCAGTTTTATTTGGTCGTGCAAGCTGATCGGTTGCTTTCTGATTAAACGTAAAACTACTGTTAACTGAGAAGCTTTACAAATACAAAAGTGCATACAAAAAGACAAAATGAAATTCTTTTCGCTCTTCACCGTCTTATTAGTGCTCGTGGTGGTGTGCGTCAACCTCTCGGCGGCATCTTTCTGTCCTTGCGATCTCTCGCAGAAAGGACAAATCTGCGGCTCTAACGGTATTACTTACAAGAATCGTTGCGAGTTCGAGTGCACGCAGAAGGACTACAAGAAGTTGGGTCGTACATTGAATATTGCCAAGACAGGTCCTTGCTAGACGCTACGCAAACGTGAAATACTTCGGTTGAGTGGAAGAATGCGAAAGAGTAAAAGGCGAATGCGACAATGGCAACTAAAGTGAAATGGATTTAAAATGGAAGAGTTAATCGAAAGCGGAAGGATATCCGTAGGAAATTAAATGAAATTGAGTTGTAGTTACTTACATATATACATATTGCAATAAATATATGCACATACATATACATATATCGAATTAGAAAATGAATGGAATACAAAATATTTTTAATCTCACACATGCATCTTATATACTATACATAGACTTTCATTTGTAGATACATATGTATATGCACAAGTGTTTGATGTATATGATTTTAATGTAATTTTGTGACAATATCAACAGTTATATACAATTAATTAATAAATAAAAGAAGAAAAAAAATAATTGAGTTGTGAAAGTTTTTGATTTGATTCTACTAGAAGAAAATATGAATTAGTTATTAAATATTTAAATATTTAAGTAAAAATCCATAAGATCTATTAAAAAGTTGAGGAAAAATATTTTTATTTATGCGCTGAGCTCTCAGTTTTGGAAATATTGCAGCAAATCAGACGACAATCAGGGACTGTCTAGATAATAATTTTTGTGTCCTAACTTTATTTTCAAATTTTCAATATTTACAGTCTGATAATAAACTGAATCTTCAGTCAGTTTTACAATATGCTCTTGAATTTTTCCAATGAATTTTTACACTACTGTGAAGAAATATGGGCGTCAGCTCATTTGCTTTTCACCTACTAATTGAATCGTTCGTTATACATTTTTTTCCATTGATTTATTTTTGAATCGTTCGCCTTTTAGCGCTTTGTTTACCTTTAAAGCTGCTTTACGTATGTGAATATATGTATATACATATATACATCTACACATATATACGTGAGTAACGCTAATTTTGAATTCAATGCGCCTCTTTATATTCATTTATTATGTAATACTTTGTTATTGTTATTCTCAAGCTCAAATGGTTTTTTTTTACTTATTTTATGTTTTATTTTAATTATTTTGTTTTTGTTTTTGTGTTTGTGTACTTTATTAAGCGTCTGAGGTCAATCAAAGCTTAAATATATATGAGGGAACAAAGTGTACGTCAATTGAAATGAACTGCAATATACATATTTGTATGTATATATTTATAAATGATTTTGCTCTCTTTTTCAGAATTGAGAACTTGCAAGCGCAATTAAGTAGGATTTTAGTAAATTTTCTGGAAGCATGAAATCCATTTGCTGAGCAGTTTACCTCTTAAATATTCTTGCCTTGAGTATGAGTAAATATTTTTGTACCTAATTAGAGGTGTTATTTATTTTTTGTTTTTGTTAAGTGATATTACTTTACATCTCTTTGATTATTTTCCACTCATTGTCGCTTATCAATTGGGAGACTTTATCTGTGATTTTTGACATGAAACTGACATTTACTTAGCAAAAAAAGCAGTCGTACGATGAGTAAAACATCTCCCATTTTATGTATGTATGTATTTTATTTACTAAATGGAGCAAATTACTCATGAACATAAAAAATAGAAAAAATTAATAAATTAAAAAATATTAAGTAAATAAATAAATAATAAAATAAAAATGGGAACAATTTTATGTTTAAGATATAAATAAATATGTTCATAAATATGTTAATAAAAACAAAAAATTGATCAGTAAATAAATAGCAACATAAAAATAAAAATAGTATTAATATAGGTACATAGAAATGGTTAATTATTTACTAAGCCAATAAAAAGTTAAATAAATTATTAAATTAATTGGTAAAGTAATAATTGAGTAAGTAGATAAATAAATAAATAAATAAATAATTAAAAAATAACAAAACTGATTAATAAACATTAAATAAATGAGTAAATTAATTAGTTAAATAAATTAGTTAATAATACAATTTAAATTTTTAATAAACAAGAACGACTAAGTACAATAAATAAACAGATAAATAAATAAATAAAAAAAAAGTCGAATAGTAGTAGCTATGTAAATCGACAAATAATTAACAAATAAAAATTAAATAATTCATAAAATAAATAAATAAAAATATATAAAAATAAATAAAAATAAATAAGTAAGTAAATAACTAAATGACTATAAGCAAATGAAAAATAATAAACACGTAAGAACCTATTAATAAATAAAAAACCAAATATATTGATAAATAAATGATTAAATAATTAAATAATTTTTTGAATGAACAAACAAATAAATAAATAAATAACTAAAAACAATAGTTCAATAAATAAATATAAAAAAGATATAAAAGGTAAATTATATATGTAAAACATAAATGAATAAGTGGATAAAAAAAAAATCAATTGAAAAAATGAATAAAATAAACGTGAGTAGATAAAAAAATAAATTTAGTATTTAAAATATATTGATCAGGCATATTAAATAAATAGATGAATAAAATAAATCAATATTGACTCAAATAAATAAAAAAAGGCAAAAATTATAATAATAAATAAATAACAAAAAATAATTACAAATGAATAAATAATAAAAAAAAAACGATCATAAATAACATTAACTTCGAAATTTTTTTAACTAAACCTGTTTGCTCTGCGGCTTTTTTAATTATCCTCGGGGTTATCTTCTAAGCAGAAGCTGTTCGTACTCGTAATGAATACACATAAACTCTGTTCACGACTCTGCCATACTTCTTTCCTCGGTATAGTATCTATTAAGACTACCCTTTACTAGAAGGGCCAACAGCAGATGGCTGAGTGAAACCAAGGGCAATATGACCAGATAAATCTGACCCTTGATCGAAGCGAACACTTCACTTCTTTTAAACAGAACCTCCAAATGCATAACAACCCGCGTAATAATCGGACACTGTGTGAGGGGAACCACGGTAGAAGGATGGACTGTTTCTCAAACGACATTTGCCGCTGTTGCAGGAGACGATTAATCGGTAGAACATTACCTCGCCACTGTGCAGCTTTCATCTTCTTACATCTCAGTGCGTGAATGTGTGTGTGGGCATCAATAATCTCCTAAACTTCATAAAAAATATACCAAGTGGTTTGAGCACCTGTAAAGGTGAGAGGAATCTTCTTCATAGGACCAAAATAGGAATCACAACGGGCCAGCGGGCTTGAGAACGATTGATCAGGGTTCCGTGATCGAGCAGCCCCTCTGATTAACTGACTGACTAGATTTTCGAATTTCAATATAATTAGCGGTTATGTTAAATTTGAAACTGTTAAACGATTAGATAAAGAAAATCCAGTCGGCGGCTTATTTTCTTGTTTTCGATTTGAATTTTGGTGGCTCAAACTATTACCTTTCTGATATTTCCTAACAAATAAGAGACGAGACAAATAGCACGAATGAAGTGAATAAATATGTAATAAAAACTATTTAGACTATCTAAAAGTATATCGTCTATGACCAACACTGTATCTTCACTGCTCTTTTAATGACTGAATTTTGATGGTTTTTCACCCTCCCCTCGGCAACTTATTTACTGCGTTATACGATTGTTAATAATAAATATTCTAAAAATAAATGTCTTAGATTCTTCAAACTACCAAGCATTTGAACAGCCAGATTTTTCTTCAATTCTCTCAGAATTCATGGATTCATTGTAAATCAAAAGTAGGCTGTCAAAACCGACACCTATAAATAAGAAAGGCGTCAATAAGACGTCAATGTATCAAACGGAAGCAACAGCTGCCTCCACTCAGTGCTGCAAATGTAAATAGTAAATCAAGTTGGAAAGGCAGCAAGATTTTTTGAATTTGCAAAAAAATAAATTTTAATATTTAAAAAACATTTAATTCAAATGCATTTCATATTAAATAATGAAAATTATAGAAATAAAATTTTCAGCAAGTGCTTGCCTTAAGCGTAGTTAGTGTGGAGAAAGAACAAGAAATCTTTTTTAAATGCATACTTATGGACCAGCCTAATATCCGCTACACTGACATCCATATACATATATGTATGTACGTATTTGCATTATAATTTCAATTCCTTTGTGATTTATAATTGAGTTCATATTTCTTCATCAAGAAGAAGGCAGCATGAAGAAGAATAGCCAGAAGACAGTAAATGAGACCGACAAATCAGTAAAAGTGTTTGTATGTACATATGTACACGTACATATTTATGTGTGTGTGTATGTGATGAAGGTAAAACGTTGGAAAATTCACATGAAAATCATCCTAGCCTTCAAAGCGTACACACACAGGCATGCAAACACAACTGTGATCATCAACAACGGCGCAGAGAATTTATGCCAACAATCGGCTGGCGTTGGTATAAAATAAATTGAGAAATGTTGAACAAATGCAAATATCTACTCATATTTATTGTTGTAGCTTGCTGTTATCCGAAAAAACCAGGTAGGCGAAATTTCGTAAATTCTCATTTTACAATTTGTGTGGGAGAGTGAGTGCGTACCTTTGCTTTTCGAAAAGGGTATAAGTGTATGTACGTGTATGTATGTATTTGGCCAAAATCATATTAAATCCTTCAAATTAATTTGCATATCCTTTTCATACTTCAATCGAGATATTCAATATTTAGCATTGTTGGGATAAGCTTTATTGTATTTCGATTATTTTAGCAGATCCAACAACAACAACAACAGCGACGGCAACAAAAAGTAGTGGGGATTATTTACGACAGAAATGTTGATTTTATGTGTATTTGTAGGCTTTACAAGCATGCGGCATTGCTTGTTGGTCCTGTGTCTATTGCGCCTGAACGTATACTAAAAAATTTTGCGTAAGAACCAAACAGAATTTTTGCAAATTTATTTAAGGCCAGTGAATATTTTCGTCATTAAGTATATTGTTCTTGTGGCATTCTTTCCACTTGTGGATATTTTTAAAAAAACGAAAGGGATACTAGAGCATAAATTTTGGAAGAAATGAATTGAAAAATACAAAATTCTATCAAATCGAATTTGAGGTCATCTTTTAGCTAATCATTCTTCGACAACTCTTAGAAATTCAACACTTTTTGGATGTGAAATAGGCAAGTTTTTTGACGGTTCCCACCTACACTGACGGTTCAAAACTCGAGGGCGACTGCGGAGCACACTTCGAAACACTTGCAATCCACATGAGGTAGAGACTTTCAAACAACTGCAGCGTCTTTCAAGTTGAACTAACTACAATGGCCTATCACGAATTTTCAATTTTCATGGTAATAACATCACTACAAAGACGGCAATAAGATGTAGGGAAATCTTGAACAAAATCTTGGCTGTACGTGAAACGAACGTTGTTTGGGTCACCGGACATAGCGATATCACACGAAATTGCTTGGCCGACGAGCTAGCAAAGACTGGTACAATCCTAGCTCTGCACACGATGCGGCCATACTTCTTCCCTCTATAAAATATCTGTTAAGATAAGCATTCACTAGCAAGG